TGCCACCTAAAAGCTTATCGTAATGTTGGCTGTTACTTCCAGTACCCAAAAGACACCCATTGTAGTTCTCCGCCAACCTGTCCCCAGTAAATGAGTCACAGCAGTCTTCTAAGTTTGTTTATTGTAACTCTGCAATGGCCAAAATAGTAAGAGAGGCTCTGTTCTGTTTCCTATTTAGAGTTTGTATACATACTTTCCTAATTTGGCCCTAGATGCAATAATTTCCAGTTTAGTCTTTCTAAGCAGAAGGCTATGCCAAAGAAGAGTCTGTCTAGACAACATTATTCTGATACCCGGTGGTGCTTCTTTTTCCTATGTTTTATCAGAAGATGAAATAGCTGAGACTTTAGTCAGCATTGAAAATGCTGCACTGGTCCTTATATCTTCTCAATTTAGACAATATAATCAGGTATTTAATTTTTTAAATGTCATTTACTCATTATATGCAAGGCACTACTAATTGTTAAGACTCAATGGTGGCCAAAAAAAAAAGCTCTAGTATCTTATATCTTGGCATCTTAGCGGTTTATCACTCAATGGTATTTAAATCAATCTTCTAGAGTGGATGCAAAAGAGTTGAATTACTATTCATGCCTCAGGAGGAAAGTCAATCTTGTGTGACTTGTCCATTCTGCTTTCTGTGTCTTGGTGGGAAAACACACATCGGTGTATCTTGTGTGTTATACTTGGTTTGGGATGAACCATGATTTTTGGACTATATTTTCTTGGCTCCTAAACAATGGTTTTCTGAGTTGGATTATAAAATTTGTTGTAATTTGCTATTAGAACCTATGCTTGGACAATCCCTATGCCGTCTGTGTCTCTGGTATGTTTATTATCTTTGATAATGAGAATTTTGGAGCCAACAACATTTCTTTTTATTCCTGGCTGCCAGAAGTCTTGGAGCAAATTTATAGCTCAGCAATGACAAATGGAAAGAGCTCTGTGGCCCCATTATCAGTGCCTCCTTCTGCTGTCACTGCCCCTCATCTACCTTCGCCCATCATTCACAACATATATGTTTTCAATAGACTTCATATGTTTTATTGATGTTAAAGATTTTAATGCTTTTATTGTTAAAATTGTTTCACATCCCTTTTAGCAGAGGTAAGGAAGAAATATTTCTATATTCTGCATACCTTAGCACAAGTCACCAGAAAAATTACTAAGGAAATAAATGAATACACTTACTTAGAGAGGGTGGGGTAGGGAAAGATTAAAAATAAAACGAGTCAATAAGTTTTCAGAAATATTGACTCACATACCTAATGTATGAATGATGAATTAGAACCTTGCAGATTTAGCCACTTGCCAACATTTTGTAAAATGACTCATTGAAATGTCAGATAAAATTTAACTCTCTAACATTAGGTTCGGTTTGCTTGTTGACTATACATTCATGTTTCTCAGTGAAAAAAAAAGAGTTTTTGCATTAAATACAGCACTGATGTCATCCTTCATAATCTAGCTCAATGTAAGGTGTATTCTTGGGAAAAACAGCACAGAACAGTTCCAAAAGCAATAGAATGGATAGTGGAATTAAGCCAGGCCCCTGTGTTTTGTGGTCTAAAAACTTTGAGCTTTGTAGCTCCCTAATTTTTTTCAAAAAGTACATTAAGGGTTATGTAATAGACTCGAGCTTCTAACCATGTTATAAAGCTCAAATGAGAAAATGTACATCTATGAAAATTAAATGCATTTCTTTGGTGTTACTTTGATTAGGAAGAAGGTGCTGCCTTCTCAGGTCACTCTGAGAAACCCCTTCCCATTTCTGTTTCTACATAGACACACTCACTTGTAGTGCAGCAGTTAGAATCTCATATTATGGTTTTCACTTCACATGATCGCTACCTAATGTATGTTTTCAACCTATATACACAGATGATGTTACCTAGTCTGAAAAAAATTAATCACTTCATAGATATTTCTTCAGTGATTCAAGGTGAATGCAAGCTACTCTAGAATCATGACTAGCTCCTCTTAAGTAACTCCATCAGTTATTTCACAGGAATTAAATCGAGAAAACAAATAAACTTAACTTAAAATTAATGAAATTTACTATCTGGTAAAGTCCCCTATCTTTCATAGGTCTTCTGATGTTTTAACACCCATAGAACTGTTCTTGTTTTATATAATTTTATAACTACTACACATGAATTAATCCAGTCACTGATCCTTTCAAAATTAGGCCATGTATGATAATGTGGGTCAGTACCTGCAATTCCTCTTTTTTATTCTTTGTTGTTTTTGTTTGTTTGTTTGTTTGTTTTAACTTTCTGTCTCCCAAGATCTCTTTGCTAGGTTTCACTCAGTTTAATGAATTCTTAAAAGAGGTAAATACTTGAAATCTTGGGAACTGATAACAATATAGCTTTCAAAGGCATATTTGCTATTTCTGTTGAAATTCATTCTACCTGCCCCGGATACAAGCTCCCTAGTTTGCTGTATTACCACACACCCTAGCAATTCTTTAGTAGGATTCTCCTACTGGAGAATGACAGGATTTGGGCTGAAACCCACACAAGGAGGAAGAAGGATGGAGGCAGAAGGACCTGTACCTATGCAGACCCCGTCTAGACTGCAGATAACGATGACAGCATCTTGGGGAAAGTGACTTTCCACCAAAGAGGACCCTGAAAAAGAAAATAGCATGGCAACCTAAAAGGGGTTGGGGTTTAGGGGGGCCTGAGACACAAGGAATTGTTAGGCAGCATGGAGGTCCCTTCCAGCTGGTGACCAAGAATGTCAAGTAGCACTGAGGCTGGTATGGACTAGGGGAAACTTGCCCATAACCACTGCCCCATGTGGCCCACCCCAACCCCTACCTGTTGTCCCTAACTCCTGTCCTAGGCCAAGGAGTTGGGATAAACGTAAGGGCCAGTCTTCTCTTTCCTTCTGTTGGGCTCACTCCCATGGACAGAAGCTGGTTAGTCAGGGCCTGAGGTGGCCAGGGACTGTCACAGCGTGAGTCCCCATTACTTGGTTATTGAGGAATGTACCTCTGCTAGAGGTGGCAGTGACATGGGATGGGCAAGGCGGCCTGAGCCCGGAGCTGGGAATTTGATGCTGAGATCTGTGGTTCTGAAGTCTTCCCAATGTGGTCCAGAGGTGGGAAGGTAGAAGAGACAGAGACCAAGAGGCCCAAGGCAGGTATGGGTCGGGCACCAGGCCTGGGGCTCAGAGCTTGCGAGGGTTCACCCAATTGTAGGGGCTCTCTTGCTGGAAACCCACTCTTTCTCAGCTCGTTCTCTCTCCTTTCATCTTCATTCAGAATGATTTTATTTTTAAGCATTGTATGTACAGAGGGTGCCAAAAAATGTATACACATTTGAAGAAAGGAATAAACTATTAAAATTGTAATACTCAATATACTTGTACACCGATAACACAAGATGAATACGAGTCACGTTTGACTTCTGCGATTACAAGAGGTGCTCAAAGTGGTTACCATCAGCGCAATTTCAATACAGTTTTTTTTTCCTTTCTTTAAATGTGTATACATTTTTTTGGCATGCTCTGTGTATTTATATATATAAATGTGCACACATGATGTATTTTATGTACATGGATTAGGTAGCTATTTTGGGACAAGTGCCTCCTAGAAAATTATTTCCTACAAGAGCACGTTGTAGAGAATGACACAGATCAAACTAGACATGGACACAAAGAATGTATATAGGTTTCCATAATCAAGAACGGGATCCTCAACCTCTCCTCCCTCCTAGGTGGTCACCATAGGGCAGAGAACTTTAATCAAGGACCAAGCTTCAGGGTGCTGGTTCCCAGACCGTGAGGGAGAGGAGAGATGAGCAACTGACAAATGAGCACGTTGGTTGTTGGCTACAGCCTTTCTACAAGCCCACAGCATCATCGCACCCAATGTGGTGATGCCCTGACCACGGAACAAATGCCAAGCCCCTTGCTGCTGATTTCTCCTCAGCAAACAAGAACATCAAAGAGACCCTCTGTTCCTTCCAGCTTCATATTCTTTTCACTGGCCAAGCGAAGGCGAGCAGTATAGAGGTTCAGCGCCATGAGGTTCTGAGCCTCTTCTGCAGGTCCCCTGTAAGCCCACTGAGCATCTTCTTGTCAGTATATAGCTAGAAATTGGTGGGGGCAGGATTTTGGCACACATCTTCCAAATCTGAGGCCATTGCCCTTTTCTTTTAATAGCACAGTTATGGCGTTTGCAAAGGTACACACAGAGAGAGATAAGGTGGAACAGAGAGGTGTATTGGACTAAAACTTAATAATAAAAAGAGTGAATACTATTGTATTATTGTATCCTGGGGGACCATGACAAAATACCACAGAATGGGTGGCTTAAACAATAGAAATTTATTTTCTCACAGTTCTGGGACCTAGATCTAGAAATCTGAGATCAAGGTGCTGGCAGATTCGGTTTCTCGTGAGAGCTCTTCCTGACTTGCACACGGTGCTTTCTCACTTTGTACTCACATGGCCTTTACTCTATGTGAGCCAAGAGCGAGCTAGTGAGTGAGCAAGCGAGGGGGTGGGGGGAGAGAGAGAGAGATGCCTCTTTCACTTCTTATAAGGACACCAGTTCTGTAGGATTAGGGCCCTGTTTTTTTTTAACTCATTTAACCTTAACTACCTCCCTAAAAGTCCTATCTCCAAATATAATCACACGGGGGAGGGTTAGAGCTTCAACATATGAATTTTAGGGGAACATAATACAGTCCTTAACAACTAGAAACATGCTGGCGGGTTTATGTCAGACGTTATTTTCAGGGACTTGAGCTTGAAATTTGCAAATGGACATTTTGGTCCAGTGCATATTTAGTGCATATTCAAAGAACACATTATTTTCTGCAACTGAACCAAATGGCCATATAATACAGTATTTTTAACCTGAATTTTAAATGAATTTTCCAAGATAATTTTTTAAAAATTATTCTAGGACAGTGAATGACCTATGCTTAAAATGGAGGGGAAATTATAGCATTTCCTGAAAAGATTTACTTTCTTTCATTTTACAGGCCCAACAGCTTACTGATCTGGAACAAAAATTAGCTGTGGCCAGAAATGCACTGGAGAAAGCAGCTCTTGACCGGGTAAGTTTACATCCATGAACCAGCACAAATTTGGATAGCAATCGAAGCTAGGGTATGTTCATTGCTTCCCTTGATTTATGAATGCAATTCCAGATGCTGTGCACGTAAGATGGTTATAGAATTTACGAGTGCTTGATATTCCCTTGGGAACCCATTTTTTTCCTTGTTTTTGCTGCTAACAGTAAATTGACTCAAGGTTCAGGCTCTGTGAGTTCACAGCTTTATTTTTCACCTTACTGGTATATTTGTTCTATAACACCATAAATACACATGCTTTAAAGCACCCACAAAGATGACATGCATTAGCTCTGGATGAATGTGTTATAAAGCAAATGGAAGTAGTCATTGATGCTTTTTATTTTGGAAAACTTACATCAGTGTTCTGGAGGTCATTGAGGCATAAAAGAAGAAGGTAGCTCTCTTAACCATGAAGTCTTAATTATAAAATAATGCAAGGGTGGGTGACAGTCCATCTTTACAACAGCTATACTGAGATGTAATTCATTTGCCATAAAAGCCACACTTTTAAAGTTCACAAAGTTGTGCTACTTGTTGTCACTATTTACAAAAGATTTTCGTCATCTCTTTTTACCTTACCTATTTCACTTTGATTTTATTAACCTCTTACTATGTTACAATTGTGTGTGCTCAGGATAAACCACAGCTCCCATCTGATGCCTGCCTTTGCCTTTCAAAGCTCTTCATGTGAGTCATGGATGGAGAACAGGGAATTCATATATGGAAAGGAAAATATAAAGTAGAAGGAGGAATTGGTCACATAATTCAGAATTATTTTTCTGCTGCCTAATAGTTATGAAACAATTTTGTAATGTTTCTTTTTTTTATTTATTCATTTTAAATCAACTTTATAAGATCGTGGGGAATAAATATTGTTTTTTTCTTTGGTTCATTTGAAACAAAAGGGTAGAATGATTTTAAAATAATGTATTTCTTTGTTCAGCTCATACTCATCATTGACCACCCAATCTAATTTTCTTGAATACCTAGAACATATGTCTAGCACATATTAATACAGAAAACTCTGAATCTTGGAAGTGAATTATAGCATTTTAGACTTGCGAAGAAGAACACATTGCTCTCAATCAAAAGCATGGCGCATCTAGACCTAAGCAACAGGGCCAATCAGAAGTCACCTGCATTTTATTAAACCTTCAACTTATCCCTGACTAAGATCAATACTTGATTAGATTGGAGTTATCAGTCATCGTTCTGTATGACAGTGGAAAGGCAGGCAATCTCTTGTGGAGGATATCATCTGGATAATTTTTGTTTCCTGTGTAGACAATATCTGACATGTAATGCAATATATCAATATACAGAAAGGAAACAAGAGAAGCATTACCTGGAGCTGATTCAGATATTGTAGTGAGAATGAGAAAAAAAAATAAATTATATATATATATATATATATATATATATATATATATATATGTATGTGTGTGTGTGTGTGTATATATATATATATATATATATATATATATATATATATATATATGTATGTGTGTGTGTGTGTATATATATATATATATATATATATATATGTATATATTCTGGGGGTGCCAAATAAATGTACACATTTTAAGAGATGTTATCTATATATTAGATTTCAAAGTTAAATTAAACTATGGTAGCAATGTGTAGATGACATTCACTCAAAAGATGGCATTAATCAAATGAATGCTAGTAGCATCATTCATTCTATTACAATTTTAATACAGTTTTTTTCCTGTCTTAAAATGTGTATACATTTTTTGGCACCCTCTGTGTATATGTATATGTATATACACATAAAAGGATAAAAATTTTCATTAGACTTGGAGCATATAAAAAAATCAAGTAGATAGTCTAGACTAAAACAATATAATGTATGCAATTAAGAATTTAACTGATGTGCTTAATAGCAAATTTAATTATTGGACATAGTAGAACTGAAGACTAGTGAAATGAAAGGAAAATTAATATCAAATACTTATAACAATGTATAGAATACAAAGCTAAATGAAAAGTAAACACAGAGAGAATAAGAACTGTATGAGACAATTTCCAAATTTCTAAATTTTTTTTTTAAAGATTTTTATTGGGGAATTGGGGGGATGGGAACAGTGCTGGGGAATTGAGGGAAGGGGAACAGACAAGTTGCTATTCTTTTTTGTTCTTCAATCTAGTTGTGGAGGACGTTGCTTCATTGGCCCAAGTTGGCACCATCATTGCGCTCTTCCCCAGGCGAGGCAGATCAGTCACCGGCTTCTGGACGGCCACTCACAGCGGATGCTGGCCGCTCACGCTGGCTGCTGGCTACACACACTAGCCCATAGCAACCCACTGCCACAGGGGCTGCAGCCCACGCCATCACCAGCGACTCATGACACAGCCCAGCTCCAGGTTGAGCTGTTGTTCAGCATCTTAACTGTAGAGGGCAGTGTCACTGGCCCTCATATGTGGGATCCAAATCGGGGCCCTCTGGCGTCCTAAGCCAGTTCTTAACCATCATGCCACTCGGCTGGCCCTCTAAATTATTTTTAATCATTGTCCTAGAAGTAGTGATAAGCAGAAGCAATATTTGTAGAGATAATGACTAAAAATTCCCCAAAGCTTTAAAGATATTAACCACAGATTCAAAAATATAAATATTCCACAAGCAGGTTAAATCAGAGATAATTACATTACAATCCAATTGTTGATTGTTAGATATAAAAAAGATAAACTAAAACAGAAAATGAATAACAAAATGGTACATATCAACTTAAGTATTATATTTTTAAATGGTTAAATATTCCAAATATAAGGCTAAAATTGTAAATTACATTAAACACAAACTATGATTTATACAAAAGACACCTTTAAATATAAACAGGAGGACTGTAAATAAAATGATAGGGAAAAAAACCAACCTATGCAAAAAGTAATACAAAGCTTGTATATCAATACTAGTGTTATTCAAGGTAGATTTGAAGTTAAGAATTTTTAGTGATAAGAGTGAGTTTCATATGAATCAGTCCGAGAAAATGACATCGAAATCCTAAGCCAGTATGTATGCAACAATATTCCTTTAAAATGTATATGTGAGTACATTTTTAAAAGTATATTTAAGACCCATGCATTTTTTTATTGTCTGCTATATTTGAGTATGATTTGTTAACTGAATAAAAGATACTTAAGATCACCAGAAAAAACTGAAATGTGGGCCGGCCGAGTGGCCCGATGGTTAAGAACTGGCTTGGGACGCCAGAGGGCCCTGGTTCAGATCCCACATATGAGGGCCAGTGACACTGCCCTCTACAGCTAAGATGCTGAACAACCAGCTCAACCTGCAGCTGGGCTGCCGTGAGTTGCCGGCGACGGCGTAGGCTGCAGCCCCTGTGGCAGTGGGTTGCCATGGGCTACCGTGTGTAGCCAGCAGCCAGCGTGAGCAGCCAGCAGCCACAGTGAGTGGCCGTCCAGAAGCCTGCGACTGATCTGCCTTGCCCGGGAAGAGCGCAATGACGGTGCCAACTTGAGCCAGTGAAGCAACGTCCTCCACAACTAGACTGAAGAACAAAAGGACAGCAACTTCTCTGTTTCCATCCCCCCAATTCCCCAATAAAAATCTTTAAAAAAAACCTGAAATGTGGATAAGAACAATGAGATATCATCGCAACACCATCAGATTGGTAAAAATTAAGAAATCTGATGATACCAAATTCTGATACACTTGTGATAGGTGTGTAATTATTAAAATCAGTTATTAAATATGTACATCTTAGAATTTGCACATATCCATGTATAGAGGGTGCCAAAAAATGTATACACAGTTTTAGAAAAGGAAACATGTATTAAAATTGTAATACGATGAATGATACTAGCATTCATTTGATTAAAGCCATCTTTTGAGCGAACATCATACTACACTTTGCTACCGTAATTCAATTCAACTTTGAAAAGTAATACATAGATAACATCTCTTAAAATGTGTACATTGTTTGGTACCCCAGTATACTTGGAAAGAAGCATAGGGACATTAAATACAGGAATGTTTGTATTAATAATAATTGGAAATAATATAAATGCTTACTGATAGAATTAATATGTACATTTCCTATTTTTCCTATAGTCTAATTACTATTTTCGAATAGTAATCAAATTTTAATATTAATGAAAAAATATAAAGACATTTGTATCAATGTTGATACATCTATAACACGCAGTTGGATGAAAAAATTGAAAATTATATGTGTGATATTTAGCAATTGTTCACATACACAAAACAAATTTTGTTTTAACTATGTATCAGATAAAAAGGTAAAGTAGAAAGATACACATCAAATTCATGGACACAGTTCGTTCCCTTCGGGGAAAGATGGAGTGAAACAGCACTAGGCATGCTTACAAATACTTCTGCTGGTTCCCAAATATTTTATCTTCTAATAATTATATAGACACAAATAGTCTTTAATTCATACACACACATATGATATGTATATTGTGTACATTATGTATATATTATACAGTATATGCATTGTATATATACATTAGGTATATCTCATGCATTTGCATGTATATATTATAAATATGCACATGCATGAATTATATATATATTTTATAAAATTATATCAATATTATATATAACAAATATATATTATGTAATCAAAATGATGTTTTTTAACATTTAATTTGGATTGCTATTTACCTGATATTTGTCATATTTTTATGTTGTTCTCTATATATCCCCATATTTTCCAAAATAAGTTATTTTGAAAAGTGAAGATAGTGCTCTGTCTGCTATCAAGAGCTTTCCATTTTTGTGATTACGGCTTAGCAACAATTTTATTTAGAAAAGTAAGCAAGTAAGATAATCGCATTCATAAACTTCTTTTGCAATAATATACTGTATATGTTTAGCAATTTTGTAAAGATAAGAAGTTGTCTCTTAACCACCAATTTGAACCATGGGTATTTTGATACACAGCAGAAGAGATGGAGCATTTAAGGCTAACCATTTA